ACCTCTGGAAGTGATCTACACATTCAATGCAATTTCCATCAAAATACCAATGATATTTTTTGTAGAAGTAAAAAAAATGATTCTTAAATTCAGATGGGAGCATAAAGGACCCAGAATAGCCAAAGCAACCTTAAGAAAAGAGTAATAATGGAAGTATCACGATACCTGATTTTGAAATATATTACAAAGTCATAAATAACCAAAATAGCACAGTTTGGGCATAAAAACAGACACACTAGACTAATGGATTAGAATAGAAGTCCCAGAAATAAACCTACACTTTTACAGCCAATTGATTCTCTTCAAAGGTGCCAAAAACACACCTTGGAGAAAAGGCAGCCTCTTCCCCAAATAGTACTGGGGAAAACTGGATATCCTCATGTAGAAGACTGAAACTTACCTCCATTTATCACTCGGTACAAAAGTCAACTCAAAATTGATCAAATACCTTGATGTAACATCAGACACTTTGAAATGACTAGAAGATAACATTGGGAAAATACTTCAAAATATTTGCATAAGCAATCATTTCCTGAATCGGACTCCAATACCTCAGAAAACAAGAATTGACAAATGGGATCACATCAAATTCAAAAGCATCTGCACAGTAAAAGAAACCATCAGCAGAATAAAAAGGCAACTTTAAGAATAGGAGAAAAACTTTGCCACATATTCATCTGACAAAAAATTAATATTCAGAATATATAAAGAACTTAAAAAAGTTTAGCAACAAAAGGGTGAATGATTTGAACAGACACTTCTCAAAAGAAGTACAAATGAACAATAAGTGTGTGAAAAAATGCTCAATATCTTTAGCGACTGAAGAAATATAAATCAAAGTTACATTAAGATTCCATCTTATCATAGTGAGAATGGCTATTTTTAAAAATAAATAACAAATGATGGCAAGGAGATTTTAAAAAAGGAAACTTTATACATTGTTGATAGGAACATAAATTAGCACAAGTACTGTGGTAATAAGTTTGGAGATTCCTCATAAAGTTACAAATAGAACTTCCATATTATCTAACTTTTCTACTCTTAGGTATTTATCTGAAGGAAATTAAATCAGCATACATAAGTGATACCTGCATATTTGTCTTTATTGTGGCACTGTTTATAATAGCCAAGATGTGGAACAGCTTAGGTGCCCCTCAACAGATGAATGGATAAAGAAAACATGGTATATGTACAAAAGGGACTAATACTCAGCCATAGAGTAGACTGAAATTACGTCATTTGTAGGAAAATGCATGAAACTGGAAGACATCACATATTTTTCTCTCATATATAAAAACAAACAAAAAACTGGAAGTAGAAATGTAGAAGAGGAGAAAAGGGACTAATAGGGAAAGAGAAGGGGTTAGAGAGGAAAGGGGGAGAAAAAGTAGAAGGGAAAATACAAGGCATGATATATCTTTGTGTGTAAAATCAGCATAAAATCCATCAATTTGTACAAGTAATGTGTTAATCATTATAATAGAGAAAAATCTACAGACTGTGTAACTCCCGTCAAATTAATAATGTCATTCTTCAAAGAGCTAGAAAAAAAGTCTTAAAATTCATATGGAAGAATAACAGACTCAGAGTTGTCAAAGTCATCCTGAGCAGTAAGAATGATGATGGATGGATCACAATACCTGATCTCAAATTATCCTAGAACTATAGTAATAAAATATGGTAATGGCATAAAAAATAGACATGAAGACCAATGAATAGAATAGAGGTCACAAAGACAAATCCATATAGGTATGGTCATCTGATCTTGACCAAGGTGCCAAAGACATACATTAGAGGAAATAATAGTCTTTTTAACAAATGATGATGGGAAACTGCATATCCACATGTTAAAATATAAACCTAGACCCCTATCTGTCACCCTACACAAACATCAAATCAAAGTGGATCACAGACCTAAGAATTGGACCAGAAACACTACAATTGCAAGAAGAAAATACAGTGTCAACACTTCTACATTGGCACAAGTACCAATTTCCTTAATAACATACCTCAAGCTCAAGAAATAAAACTAAGAATCAATAAGTGGATGGCATCAAATTAAAAAGCTTCTTCAGAGCAAAGGAAACAATTAAGAGCCTGAAGAGAAAGCCTACAGAATGAGTGAAAATCTTCACCAACTATTCTTCTGATGGGGGAGTAACATATAGAATATATAAAGAACTTAAAAAAAACACCAAGAAAACCAAATAACCTAATCAATAAATGGGCAAATGATTTAAACAGACATTGGTACAAAGAAGAAATAAAAATGGCCAATAAATATTCCCTTACCAATCAGGGAAATACAATCAAAACTATACTGAGGTTTCATCTTACTCCAGTTAGAATGACAATCATTAAGAATACTAATAACAATAACTACTAGTGAGGATGTGGGGAAAAATACACTCATATATTGTTAGAGGAATTGTAAATTGGTACGACCACTTCAAAAAGCAGTATGGGGATTCCTCAAAACCCTAGGAAAGGCACTACCATATGACTCAGCTATCTTACTGCTAGGTATTTATCCAAAACAACTAAAATCATCATCATACTATAGTGATATGTACAAATGCATACCAATGTTTATAGCAGCACAGTTCACAAGAGCAAGTTATGGAACCAGTCTAGGTATCTGACAACAGACAATTGGATAAAGGAAATGTGGTGTGTAGCCATGATGGAGTTTTACTCAGCCACCAAGAATGTAATTATGTCACTTGCTAGTTATGAATAGAACTGGAAAACATACTATGTGAAACAAGCCAGACTCAAAAAGTAAGCATTAAATCTTTCTCTCATGTGGAAACTAGAGAGAGAAAAAACAACTAAAATCAATTACAAAGGAGAGAATCTCACAAAAATATGAGACCAATAGAGTAGAAAAATGGGGAGGGAGGGGAACATAGGGAAGTACTGAGGAACAAAATCTACCAAATGCTGCTATGTATGTCCATGCATGAATATGCCGCAATGCAATATATATAGCATATTATACATAATGTACTAATCAATAATAATAAAATAGAGATCAATAGAGCAAGTGGATCAGAGGAAGGAGGAAGGGAGGGAAAGGCAAGCTAGTGGGAATGAGATTGATTAAATTATGTACATGGCATAATGAATTCCACTATTATGCATAATTACAATGCACCAAGGAAAAGAAGAAAAAACAGGAACAAGTGATTTTTAAAATTTACTATACATGACAATAACTGAAATATTATAGGTCTTATACTATTTTGTATATTTTGACTATACATGAAACAATAAGTATAATATGTATACATTTATCCAAGAAATGTTTATCAAACCCTTATTAGATATAAGAGTTAAAGGATCAAAGGCTAGTTTCTCCTTTTACAGGACTAAGAAACGACAGGCACAAAGCATTTATAATGGGAATACACTGAACATGCATTTGGCACCCAGAAAAATGTGTAAGCCTTTCTGGAAACTGTCAGGTTAAACCAGATGGGAGCAGTTAGGTAGAGACTTGAAAGATAAGTAAGGTTTTGCAAACCATATTAATAGAGAAAAAGGGAGCACAGTCAAAGACAGTAAGGAATATTGGGGTAATACAACGATATTAGTGCAGATAGAGTGTAAAGAACATCAAAGAGAGTAACTTAAAAGAAAAGGCAGAATAATACTCACCCCCTCTTTTTCCACCCTAAAACAGACAATAGGTGTCCCAAGGAGAAAGAGAAAGCATTGTGCTCCATTACAGAGTTCAGTGAATAGTTCTTCAGGTTTTGACAGGGACAGATATACAAACATTAAAGGCAAGAGCTGGACACTATCTCGTATTTGAGTGAACTCTCCTATTTTTCATCCTGTGCCATCCATCCTACTTGTAGTAGCTTATAGCTGATAAATACTCCTGGATACTTTACAACTCCTGATAGTGACAGTGTAGGTAGAGAACAAGGATGCTAGCAAATGAATTGCTCAAGTGGTTTAATAGAGTGACTTACGATAAAAGTAGAATTGTAAAGTCACATTGTTATGATGGACTGAAGGGAAGCAATAATGTGCAATTAATAAGGACTAAGCAAGAGGACCTGGGTATGGATGTATTCTTCAAAACCAGAAAATAAGTTGGGAACTGTTATCTGAAGAAAGCAAGGTAGAAATAGACATTATGCTGGATTTATAACCCCAAAGTTTAACATTTTACAGATTTCTAGGATAATGTCAAAAAGTCAATGTATCTGTGCATAAATGCCTTCACTTGAATATCAATCATCCTGACGCAATGACACATGTAATGGAGTGGCCCTTATGTTTCTCTTTCATTCTTGGTGACTGAGTCCTTTGTGGTACGGAAGCAGTACTTAGGATCTATGCCAAATTATCTCAGTGGGCTATGGTTGGAACTTCCTGGCTGTAGAACTTTTTTAACCAAAAAAAAAAAAAAATTGCATAGAAAAGATTAAACACTAACTATACCCCTTACATTTTGCTTGCATGGGGTCTAGTTTATAGTTCCATTGGACCAACTCTTTGTGTTAAAGATGATCATAACTTATACTGGACTGAGCTTCCAGGTTTCCTGCAGTCATTCCAGCTGTTATGGGCAGTTCCCAATGATAGGAATTGTGCCAGCCCTTCAAGGAAGTGACTTCGTGCCAGTGCTCTCAATATCAGAAATCTTCCTTCCTACTCACACTTCAAATGTTGAACTGCTAAATTTTTTTTAAATCCCTAATGGCTTTTAAGAATTGCATCCTACTTGGTAACTATGATAACCTCTTTTATATTTAAAATGTGTTTGAATTTATTTACTACTTCTCATTACCTCATTTAGGCCCCTGAAGTCACAGGTAGAGTGTTGAGCAGGTTTGAGCACCACCAACATTCAGTGATGCCAAGCAAGAGGTTGGCTTAGAGTCATGGACCTGCTATTGTGTGTTGATCCTCTGTTCAGTCATTTTTGAATAAAATTTTCAATGGTCTTAGATATTGCAAATAATTTTTACTTTTTCACTTTGTAGGACAGCATAACTATTTATGTGCTGGAAGAAATGACTGCATTGTTGATAAAATCCGCAGAAAAAACTGTCCAGCATGTCGCCTTAGAAAGTGCTGCCAGGCTGGCATGGTCCTTGGAGGTAAAATTGATGTTTTCTTTAATAACATATTTATGCTTTAACACTTTGGGTCCGAAAATACTAATTTTCTTATTTTCTTTATTCTTGCTTTATTTTTTTCTGTCTTGATTATTGATGGTGACTCTTCACACTTGAGTGTCTGAATGAAGCATATGGATGTGTTGTCTTTTTTTCTAGATTCATGAAATTTTCCTACATATGATGCATTAATAATACTTTATAATATGCAGTCTATATCATGTCTTTTTATGTTGTTGTTTATGGTATCTTTTTTAAAAAAATTAAATAATCACACATTAAATCCCACTTAAATAATCAATGTTCTCCCTTTATGCTGTTCTCTGCCCAGAAATAATATAAATAATATATTCAGAATAATCTGAGTTTTTCACATTCATTTCCTTATCCTACTTACAAATAGTTTTTGTATTAAGAGATAAGAATCTAACTTCATTTTCCATATGGATAACCTATTACCATAGCATATTTATTGACACAATGGTCCCAAACTTTTTAAAAGTACACCACCTAGATTAATAAAAAATGTTTGAAGCCTCCAACCCACAATGTAGGTTTGTTTATAAATACACACATACAGAACTACCAAATTGTATGTTAATGATTTTTAATTTATTTTTATTTTTAGACTAAATTATAAATATAAATTGTCACATTTTTCTAACAATACTCAAATTAAAAATTCCAGTGAAATTTGTAATACCACTTCTGTTGGTATTACCAAATTCCTAAGTTTGTTCTTTTACTGACTTCTCTATCCCTGAACCATTACCACAGTATCTGAAGTGCTGTAGTTCCATATATGTTGATACCTGGTGGAATAACTATCCCTAAATTATGTTTTTTCAGCATAATTGGTGCTTCTTGTTCACCTGAATTTTCCTCTTAAAGTAACATTTAAAGGCTTATTCTCGGTGGTTTCCAGTACTTGAAACCCTGCATGAGTTCATACCCCAGGAATAATTAAATACATTTTAAATTTCCTTGCCTCTCTTTTTACATCAGATAATCTTTCCAATAACATCCTACACTAACAAACTGAGGTTGTTTCAGTTTGTCTTCCCCAAAAAAACATATTGCCATCCAAAATAATTCGTTTAAAATTCATTTAGAATTTCATAATCTGAGATGGCTTGTAAGGACTAACATATAATGCAATATTTTTTGAAGGACAATTCTAGGATTAAAAATAAAACCTATTGTACTTCAGGTTTATATGATAGATTCATTCAAATCTAGCGGTGTCCTGAAGTAGCCATTACAAACTGAGACATAGAGCAGTGGTCACTGATTTCATAAGTGGATCTGCACAGAGGCTTGTTAGAAAGAAGTGGACTGTGCACTCTGATAGGCCACAGTTTTAATGTTCTTCTGCCAGAGAGTCAGTGGCAGGAGTCTGGGGAGTGAAAAATCCAACTCCTATAAATTAGCTAATTTGTAGGATTAGATTCAAATTGCTAGGACCATATTAAATTTCTGGAATAAAGTGGAGTGTACTCATGGTCTTTTGAAAATGAGAGTCCTTCTGAGAGTGATAATTTTGATTGCTCATGGTTGGATTCTTCCATAACTAAGAAGAGAATATCATGGAACTACTAAAAATGGAGCCCATGTCTCCTTCCTTACCTTCTTCCCTTCCCTCACCTTCATCCCTTCCCTCATTCATTTTTGTTTGATCCTCTTTTTTTCATTTCTGACACACAGCCCCTTTAAATACATGGGATAACACTGAGAAACTTTTAAGATTTAATAAAATCCTAGGGTGGAATATCAGAGTTCAGAAATATGGCTTTGACATGTCATGACATAGAGTTTGTTAATGGGAAGTTTGTTCCTATCTGCTTCAGTGGCTGTGTTCTTGTAAGAATTATGTTTAAGCCATTTGGTCTTTTTGTTGCATATGATTCTTATTTTTAATGAATCACTTCCCTTACAGGTCACAGTGAACTTCTGCATTTAGTTGATTGCTGTGCAGTACTGAGTAGGAAGATAGTTATATCCTTAGTGATGGTAATATATCTTCTAATTTAGGTGTTCTTCTAACTTCTTTCCTTTAGACAACATTTTTGTTTACTGACTCACAAAGTTTTTCTGAAATGAACAGAGCTCTGTATTTTGTATTTGTGGTAAGAATGCTAAACTATTACAAAGGTCTTTCAAAAATAAGTAGATTTCTACATGATGGGATGATTAAATGAATAGTTGTGTTTGTTGAAATCTTTTTTTAAAGCCAGAGACTGTTTATGGGTTTTTGGGTGGTGGATAAATTTTTAAAAGTTGTTGTTGAGAGCCAGTTTCTCTTCTACTCATCCTCTCCCTCTTTACCTAAATTCACCCCTACTTCTCTTGGCAAAGAGAATAACTTCCTGGCCTATAAAGTATGACTTCTGTAGTAAAACTTTTTAAAATCTGTTTTGTTTTGGTTTGCTCTCTGATTCTTTTTTCCTGAAGAATTCTACAATTTAAAAATTTGGGACACAACAATATTATTGCTGGAAGGACAGAGATCTGTTCTGTGCCTTTACTGTAAAAACTGAAGCCATGTGTCCTGTCTTTAAGGCAAGGATTGCTATGTGCGATGGCTGCCACCTACCTCCTTAGACTTCACAGTCTTCCTCTTATGCACCTTTCCTTTTCTACCCAAACCTTGGCTTTCCAGATAGCTCCTTTTCTAGACAATACTTCTTTCTGACTAGTCCCCAGTTCCCTGAACTGAAGCCTGCAGCCACATGGTGCTTTCTGATCACCAAGTGTTCTCCCAGAACACCGTTTTACACTCATCTACAGACGATGGTCCTTAGAGGATTCATTCTCACAAGTTTGCTTAAATTTTGTTGTTGTCGTTGTTTATAGGGAACTGCTTTTATGGCTGCCAACTAGAACTGTTCATTAGATCTACCAGTATCAAGTATTTTCAATTAAAATAGCTCAATATAAATTACAGATTGAGGGGTTCAAATATCTTCTTCAGTCGCAGTGTGACTTTTATTTGAATGACTGAAACATAAAGACACATATTTTAAAAATCAATTCTAATATAGTTTTTGGTACATACTTCTACTTTGTATTTTCTATGATCTAGCATCTATGCTTTCTTTGAAGTATATATGCAGGTATACTCTGCTTTGACCTGGACAACAGAGGTGAAGCCTAAGAAAAGGAAAGCAAGACATTTCAGTGCAATGGTGGTTGTTAGAGCCTTGTCCAAAGGGACCAGTCCCATCACTGCACAGTGGTCATCATCCTAGACACACTTCCATAATCCCATGCAGGCAATTGAGATGATCGTCTGCAAATCCACCCAAACTACAGCCGTGTTTATTATGATCATTGTAGTATAAAAGGATTTACACCAGTCCTTAATTGCCTGTTGGTATTTATCTTCTTTCCTCATTCATTACTCAGAAAGCTTCTGGCTGCCATTAAACTTATGTTTTAATATTCAATATAATTATTCTTCCTTTTCTTCCATACAACAAATTAGTACTATCACTTGACCATCTTGTGTCATCCATTCAATATAAATATTTTGCCAGAAATAAAGACAAATAGCAAAAGAGGGGATAGCAAAATAAACAGCACTAATTTCAAACAGTATTCAGAATTAGCTATTATGACTTTTTTATTGTCTGTTTACCCACATTTGAATACTAGGAGGATACCAGCATTATTCAAATATTGCTTCCCTCCTGTTGCCTCTCTCTACCTCTAGAACACTTATCAGATAGATATTGGACTAGCCCATTCTGTCCTCTATATTTCTTAACCCTTTTGACTATTTCTCATGTTATGATCTGCTGGTGTATATATAATTTAGTCAGTTCTGTATTCCAGTTTACAATTTTTTGCACTATGTTCTTAATATTTTTTTTTTACATTTTAGTGGTAGTATCTTTTTTAACATTTTTAAACATTTTAACATGTTTCTTTTAGAGTAGCTTTTTTCATACTTGTGTTCTTAATTCTTAAACAATTGTATACATTAAAGTCCCAAAACTCACCATTGTTGCATGCTGGTAACCACATATATTTTTCTAAATATAAATAAATAAATAGAATAAAAGAATCCTGATTATTCATAGTATTCCCAAATATGTTGGTGTAAATACTCCCATTTGACTTTCATTGGTTACAAGTATTTGAACTAGCAAGTTTCAAAATTCTGCATATTTAACACAGTTCTCACAAGTTAGGATGAGCCAAACCCAATATACTGTTTATTGTTTCTGCTATTTCTCATTTATTGAAGCATTTGTCATTTTGGTTCATTAGCTTATATTTGGAAGAGTTAATTTTTTAATCTTGTGTGGTCTTAATTGAGGGTGCTTGTCTCTAGTGAGAATCTATATCTCATTATTCAAGCTACCTTAGCTGTTTTTTTTTTTTTTACAAGAGAAGGATCACTTCTATTTTTTTAAGAGATAACAGTATAATGTTTATTGTGGCAAAAACTTTCAAATGATAAACCTGAATATAACAATAGGGAAAATTACATAAAATATAATGAATATAATAATTCAACTTCTTTAAAAGTTTGATTTCTTAAACTATAATACAGAATAACAGTACACATATTTTATGATATATTTAACATAACCAAAATTATGTTTTTTTAAAGAGAGAGGTAGAGAATTTTTAATATTTATTTTTTAGTTTCCAGTGGCCATAACATTTTTATTTTATTTTTTATGTGGTGCTGAGGATTGAACCCAGCATCCTGCGCATGCCAGGTGAGCACGCTACCACTTGAGCCACATCCCCAACCCAACCACAATTATGTTTAAAATTATAAATGAGATGCACTAATTCTGATTCTGGTAATTTTTAGTTTTCTATAATTGTACATGAATTATTTAAGAAACTAATATAGGAGCGACACAGAAGAGGAATTTGTTCAATTTGGATCTTCTGTGTTCTGCTCAGCAATTTCTGTAAGTTTTTTTCAAAATTTTTATTCTAATTTGTTATGTATGACATTATAA